CAAAATACATATACATGTTGTTGTTGTAGAAGCTATTTATAATAATTCCATATGTTTGCATAGGTTTTCATCAAGTCCATTATATTATGCTCCACCACATGGAGAGTTCCAGTCATACATTGACTATATCAGATCACTGCCAATAATACCTCATCCTGAAGTATTTGGATTGCATGAAAATGCTGACATTACTAAAGATAATCAGGAAACATTTCAAGTAAATTATTGATATTATTTTATCATTCATAAACTTTATTTTTTATTTGTTCCTTCAGTTGTTTGATAGTATATTGTTAACATTGCCAAGGATGACTGGAGGAGCTGGTAAGTCACCACAACAAGTTATTGATGAGCTAGCAAGGGACATACTTACCAAACTACCACCTGACTTTAACATGGAAAAGGTAAGAGAGAAGAAGCATAGAATGTGTAGTTACTCTTTATTTTTAGGTTATGCATTTGTTTCCGGTTGTATATGAGGAGTCAATGAATACTGTACTGAGACAAGAGTTGATCAGATTCAATAGATTGACATCAGTTGTTCGTTCAACATTACAAAATATCAAAAAAGCACTCAAAGTTTGTGAAATAGAAACTAAAAATGCTATTATTTTTTTTATGTATTAGGGTCTTGTTGTAATGTCATCGGAGTTAGAGAATGTGTTTGATAATATGATTACTGGTAAGGTACCAGCAGTCTGGGCAGCTAAATCTTACCCATCACTTAAACCACTTGGTGGTTATATTAATGACTTACTGGCAAGGTAGAGAAAAATAACTGTGAACATGAATACAACTCTCTCTCTTTTCTCTCACTCTCTTTCTCTAGACTCAAGTTCTTTCAAGATTGGATTGAAAACAAAGCTCCTCCTGTATTTTGGATATCAGGTTTTTACTTTACTCAATCCTTCTTGACAGGTAAGGAGGAAGTATAGAGAATGTGACTTACTCTATTCATTGTAGGTGTATCACAGAATTTTGCTAGAAAATACACAATACCAATTGATAAGTTAGGATTTCAGTTTGAAGTACTGGAAGAAGAAGATACTATGTCTCAGAAACCTGATGATGGAGCTTATGTTAAAGTAAAAATTACAGATTTAATAACTCACATTTATGCATTAGCCTTAGTCATTAATTCTTGATTAAGTGTATTATGAATTGTAATTACCATCATAATTATTATAGGGTTTATTTATGGAGGGTGCTCGCTGGGACAGAGAAGCAAAGGTGATTGGTGAATCAAAGCCAAAGTCCCTCTATGACAACCTACCCATAATCTGGTTAAAACCTGGTGAAACACTCAAGTTTAAACTAGCTCCAACTTATGCTGCTCCAGTTTATAAGACTAGTGCTAGGAGAGGTACACTCTCTACCACTGGACACTCTACTAATTATGTACTTACCATGCAACTGCCTTCTGATAAACCAGAGAGCCACTGGATCAATAGAGGAGTAGCTATACTCTGCCAATTGGATGATTAAAATCACTTAATTTACAAATTTTAAATCTATAGAGTATTATTGTCAATTAAAATAACTTGAATAACAAAAATTATTAAATTAAATTAATATCGTTGTACAACATAAATTACACTATCACTAATTAAAACATTAAATTAATCAAAATTAATCTAAAATCTCTCTTGGTAATCTTAAATATGCTACACCAACTTCAATTTTCTTTCTTGTTGCCTCATTTCTTTTGTCCAATATTGAAAAAACTGTAAAAACTTGTTGCCATGGTGGGCATTCTTTATGTAAAAATGAGAGATAGTTAATATCAATTGTAACAGATAGTCGTTGAGCAAAACTATATAGCTTTTGCTCTGATTTAATATGTGGTCCAATTTTTTGAGCCCAGACTAGAAGTTTCTCTACATTTACTGGTTCTAGATTTAAAGTAGACAAACAATATTAATGTGTGTCATTAAAATGCTACAATAACAATACCTCTTTCTTTTTCTTTGTCTTTTTTCTGTAATGATATAATAATATTCTGTAATAACAAAATGAGCTCACCTTTTCAATGAGTTCCTTCCAATATTTCCTTTGTGGACTGAGTGATGCCTTGCATTCATGGCACCATGGTGATTCACTTTGAGGAAAAAATTCAAACTCTTTCTTAGCTGAATCTATCAAATCATCTGCCTGTATTGAAGGTTGTGTGAGACATTTTAACGCTAGTTTGTAAGAAAAATCTTTCAAAGTACTGTTTATTTTTGACAGTGCTTCACTGCAACAGTTAAAAATATGTTGAAAAACATTAAATTCTACACTACTCTTCAATGTAGTACAAGCCACTTCAATATATCCATCATGAAATATAAAAGAGAATGTGTACTTTTGAAGTTGAGTGGTTTGCAATAATATTTTGAAGATATTTTGATGCTCTAATCCAACTTGTAGAGAAGATTTTTTAATACCAGGGCCTTGACTATGTGTTAGTAATTGTGATGCAAAAAAACACTGACAGTCGCATAAATTCAACCTTGATTCATAAACTATAAACAATGATGTATTTGTAGTAGTGGACTTTTCTAATATGCTACCACTATTTGCCAAAGGTACAAAAATTGATGAAGTTTGACTACTTTTGTCTACTTGAGCTTCTTCATCACTTGTTGTTTTCATTGCTAAGCCAAATGAGCATAAAACATCTATAATTACATCTGCTAGCTTTTTGTTGGGAATTATTCTATTTATATCCTCAACAGTATAAATTCCATTAAAATTTGTTTTCCCGTCTGGTATTCTAAAGAGTAATGACAGTGTGTTGATAAACTCTACTGGATGAAGAATAACAACATTTTGCAGAGATTTGAATGATGGAAAGTAAAGGATGCTCATGAATTTAGAAAACATTTCCAAAAATTCTCTGACCTCCATTTCTTTAATTCCTAACTTCTCTGCAATGTTCTTTAATTGCTCATAAGAAATAACAATGTCTTTTGCAGAGGAAAGCAATGCACTATGTAAAAATAGCCATGACAATTTGACATCTCTTCTTGAAATGCATTGCTTATATACTTCCCCATCCAATTCATTTCTTAATTCTTTCATGTCTTTCAATGAACATGGATCAAGAACTAATGCTTTTGCCTTCTGGAATGGTTGAAGGCCTAACCTATCATTTATAGTTGTAATTTCTCTAAGAATCATATCTTTGGCTATTTTGCGATCACTTTCGGTGTTTCTCTCAGAGCAAATGATAATGAAAATGAAGGGTGCTGCAGAAGAATGCATTTTAAGAGCATCACGTATAATGTGTAAAACTCTTGTATTGATAGGTCCTATATTAGCACTTTTATGGCTCGAATCAGGTGGTCTATTTAGTACATCATTAATTGATAAGCATACAAAGCCCAAATTGCAGCTCAGATGATGAAAAATACAATTAAGAAATATTGTGACTCCTGCATCGGTACCATCATCTATTATATTCACGTCAATCATTCTTGAGGATAACATGTGTTGAAACTCATAATTACACTGAGTTAAATCAATTTGCTTTACACTTTTACAGACATGATCAAAATGAGCATCAAGTATTGTGTTTTGAAAAAATTGATTTGCATCACCATTGAAAACAATATTTAAACTATAGTCGTGAGAATAGCTCATACTTAAAATTGCTGAACTACAAGAATGTGCTTCTTTTAACTCTTTTTCTAGAGTAAACCAAAGGTACTTATCTGAATTATGCTGCATAAGTCTTATATTGTAAACAGATAAGCCTCTTTCATTGCATTCGATAGCTGATAAAGAAGGATCAAGACTGTTAGGAATAGTATATACTGCTTCTTTCAAAAAATTACAAACCAAGTTTGATTTTCTTGAGAAAGGTAGACCCAAGAAAGCAATTAGAAATAAATTGCAAGGGATGGTTTCATGTAAAATGATTTCTTTAATTTTAGTGAAAGAAATTTCAAATTGTCTAGTTTCTATAAATAAAAATAATGGCAATAAAATAAATAATGGGCATATAAAATTTTAGTGCAATGAAAAGTCTTACTGGGTTCATTTTTCAATCTAATATCCTCTTTAAAGCCATTGGTAAGTAATAATTCATCATGCAAAACTACATTGTGAGTTGATGTGCTTTCCTATAGTTGTACATAGATTTATGCATGCACTATTTTTATTTTACCTTTTGCATCATTCCAAGTACCATTTTTTCGCCTATACTAACTTCAGGTTGCTTTCCAATCACACATTTACTACTAGCAAGAGTACTCTTGCTACTAGTAGGTCTTCTTTTCATTGGCTGATCCCTTACCTCCTTTATAAAAAGCAACAAAGCTTAGAATCTAATCACTGTATGGATATCTTTAACAACATTCATGAATTACTTTTACTGCTCATGATTATATTTATAGCATCCAATGATCTCAGTGGGGTTGTAATCATAATCAAATTCATAGGCATGCATATCATATCAAATAAAGGTCCTTTTATTAAGACTACATGCAATGTAAATCTAGATAATTAGTGACAAATACAATGGTGAGTTTCAATATGGAAATTGGTAAGGCATTGCAAATTAGGTAACAGAAATAAAAAATAATAAAATTCTTACTTTTTCAAGCTCAGTACAACTTTTTGATGACATGTCTTCTTGCTTGGCAATCGTTAACCAATCTAAATTACATTAGCATATAAAAATTTAAAATTTTGTTCACACACATACTTTTCTTTCCTTTTGTATCTTGGCATGGTAAGGCTGACCAATCTTCTTTAAATTTTAGTTTAGATACAATATGATT